TGAAAAATTCTTTTTGCATTAGATAGCCCATTTATTGAGGAAGGCTTTAAGCTATATATTATATAAAATAAAGTATATCTATTCCATACTAACCGTTAAAACGTTCCTAGGGACTAACCCGAGCGAAGCGAGGGTGAGCCGCTATGAGTGCTATAAATAATAAAACTCTTTTCAATTTTTTAGCATTTATAAACGATAATCGTTTATTGTGTATTTAAATATAGACCAGAAATAACTAAAGATTTCAATATTTACTTTACAGCTTTTTAAGCCGTCTTACGAGTATATCTTAACCAGACTAGGAAATACGAGATCCTAATAAACATTACCTTACCCAAAAATCGAATCCCCTACTAGTATCAGTAACATCAAACTATACCTACAATAGTATATTAGTTAGTTTATATATAATTACAAAGTATTTCAGTCCAATACCACCATCCAAAGAATGCAGACTGTGATTCATCTCAATTATGCAATATATCTTGACATTATTAGATAATGCTTTAGTAGAAAATATATTAACAACATAATATGACAACGATATATCTAGTTTTAGTTTTAAAGAAGAAAAACTGATTTTTTTTCGACTTTATAGTACTGATTTTCAGCTTTTACTCATGTTGTTTACATTAAGATAAATTTTAAATTTATTTTAGTGTAATTTTTTTTTTAATTTTATCTTTAAATTTTAGGAATAATCCAAGTTTCCTTAGAGGATTATTTTAGCGACATTTCGAATGCTTTACACGGATTATGGTCAAGATAATTTGTCGGTAGATACCGTCTGTAACAACTACATAATAACTTTTGAGATGTCTACATTCTTAGTCTCTTCCGTGACCATATTTGCTGTAAATCATTCGAAACGTCGGGAACCGAAATGTTAAATGGAACCGCGACAAAATCCGAAAAGATAATTTCATTTAAAAATAGTTTTAGAGTCGATAAGAAATAATATGTGTGTTAATCTAGAACATAAGGTGTTTTCGTTTCTAATTTTACAAAAATAGAGTAATTACTGTTAAAGGATATATCAACCTCATTCAAAAACTTTTTCTAATATTTTTTTTTGACTCTTACATATTTAGTCTATCAGCTGACTGGAACTTGATAGGTATAGATCGTTTAAAAAAAGAAATAAAATCAAACTAATATGTCCTTGATTCACTTAGAAAGGATATTTTATTGTTATTTTATTTTATACTGAATATCGCTTATAGATTAGCCTAATGCGTCATTCTTACGCGATATCTATATCCGGCAGTTCCTAACATTCTTTTACTGATGGTCGGAAAATCCATTATGTTAAAAATGATACGATAAAGTTTCATCTTTCACATTACATTCACACAAATCAGGTATAAGCTAAACCTTATATCTGGGGGCATGGCAGTGCCCCGCCAAGTCAAGCAAATACAAACAAACAAAGGCACAACGTACCATCCTTTTCTCTTAGCCATTCTGGACATTCGATCCCCCTGTAACTTCTTTGTGGATAAAGCTGAAGCTTAAATTATTAATGACTAAGAGGGTATAAAATAACTACGTAGGTATATTCCCAAATTACATTCAATTTTAGTCGGTAATTTAAGAAATATTGTGGGTCAAAGTTTCTTAGTTTTGTCACTGACTCACTCGCCGATCATCAAAATTCTAAAGCAGACACACAAGACTTCAATTCTAGCCTGAACAATGATTCTGAACAATTGAGTATTTATCTTATAAAGCAAGGAAGGTTCCTATTAAAATCAGTGTAGTTTGGGACCTTAGCTCGTACAAATAGATAGAGAAACAAACAGACAGACAAATTTTATGAATTATACGGGCGTTAGTATAATTAATATTCATTATATGAGCTCTATATAAGGTAGCTTAATGTATTTTTAAATTACAAATCGATATCTACTACAATCACACTATATATAGATGCGAAAGTTTGTATGTGTGTGTTTCTTACTTGGTAAGGTTCTTACTAGGGCGTTAAATAAAAGTGAACTATATAATAAATTTGCACTGGTTTATTGCTGTTATATAATTAATAAGAGGCGTCCTTTAGAGGTGGGCTTGCCACATACCACCGATGGCGCGTTCATCTCCGCTCTACCCGCCTAAGACCTGTTCCTAATATATTTATTCACACTGAAATGGATAATTATGGATTTGGATGAAATTTAACAAATTGGTAGATTATGATATATAGGTGGTTACTAGTCATATTTTTTTTCAAAAGGTGGCGCTGCTTATAATAATATTACCTATACTAATATTATAAAGAGGTAAAGTTCATGAGTCTGTGAAGTTGTAGGGGGTAATCTCTGGATCTACTGAACAGATTTAAATGAAATTTGGTAAAAAATAGTTTGACACTCTGGGAAGGACGTAGGATACTTTTTATCCCGGAAATCATCCCTTTGAGGGTGAAAATGGGAATGAAAGTTTGTATGGGGAATCAATCACTAGTAAAATATAAAGTAATAAATTAGTAGTAAATAGTATAAACTTTATATACATTTTTTCTCAATAACAACTTATACGATATTACTTGAATGGGACTCAAGTGATAAAGGTTATTAAGTTATCGTATAGAATCTAATTGACACCAGTCTAAAGAATATAACCTATTTTTTGTGTATGCCAAGTTTTGTTATTTGTTTCAAGCGTTGACGTAACAAACAAATATTTACTCCAAAAAAATGTCCTAGGAATTGTTTTTTTTAAGAATATTGGGGGTATTTGAAGAAATAAAAAAATATATTTATTAAATAAGTATTTATTATATTAATGCACCTACAACATTGATATTACGTCGTCAATTATTGTCGAAAAAGGCCTCCTTTTTTGAAAGGGTAAAGCAAAATATAAAATATAGAAAACGGAATAACAAAGTCTTTGGCTCTGAAAAGAAACGGAGGAGTTAGCACCATTCGGAAAGAAAGATATTATAATATACATATATAATAAAAAAATCAACAATAATAAAATTAAATAAAAAGAGAAATTGTAAAGGTGAAACTACGTTTCCATAGGCCTATGTACCGGGCTAGCGCAGACACGAGCTCGTTTAGGAATTAAAATAAGTATTTTATATAGAAAAATTATAATACAAAAGACGTTTTCATGTTTCTAGCCTCATAAAGCTGTTGACGAGTCTCATGTCTGCACCGACCTCAACTTTTTGACTTATTTTACCACATATACAAAATTACATAAAAACACGATCAAGAAAATTCTTCTAAAGACTTATATTTTACACATATTTTAAGTAGAAAATATATTCTCGTAGTACTTAACTATTCATAAAAAACGGGACGGAGTATCAGTGATTATATACCTATAATAATATATGTCTATATTTTATGATATCCACATACTAATCATGTTTCGATATTTTACTCTACTACACTCGCTCACGTTAAAACGTTATATGTAAAGTATATGAAAGTTTACATTTAGGTAGATACTCACAAAGTTCAAAACCCTGTAAGCGACATTATTAATTAATCGAAATATTTTAGTATGTGAATATTAGTTAGTCGTTTCATTGCAGGATCCATATGGTAACTATATGTTTCGAGACCCGTTTTCCTATATCCGCCAACTTTTGTAATAAAATACACAAAAATATTATCTTCTCAAGTCAGCGGCTTAGTTTAGGATTTTATAAAAATAAATCTGTCTAGCAGCCTTTAACCCGTGCGTGCCTTCGCATTTAAGTAACATATCTTGTATAAATAACTCAATCTGAACTTGTACTTCCTACCAGTGCCCATAACGACCGTGTTTTTATACTTAAAACTAATTTAGCATAAACTGAAAGGTACTTTATAGGAATAAACACTTTAGAAATCAACAAAATATTTCATGTCCCTTCTATCATCTTATGCCTAAAATTAGGACTTATTATGTACACTTATAACAAACAGATAAATCAAATTTTCAATTGTATCATTACTTTTAAAGTACATACATTTTGTTTGCTATACACATACGTAATAGGTTAATAGGTATAGTATTTGATGATGCTGTAATATAATTAGAATTTTGTTTCATTGCATTTTGCAAGTAAACAAAATGTAAGTACTTATCCAAAGTTTGAAAAAAATTACATCTTGTTATTGTTTTAACTAGCGTTATTAAAAATTTCATAGGACATAAAAAAAATATTTATAGCTGATTCAAATATGTACAACCAATTTACATAATTATAACATTACAAAATAATTATATCTATATATTACAAATAAATCAAAATGTTTAAGTAAACTGAAACGGATATCATTATACTTATATGTAAAGTATGTTTTTACGAAAGTATTAAATCATTCTTCTTTAAAAAATATTTTACGTATTTGAGCGATTCTAGCAACGTCTAATATGATGTATATATAATTTTATGAATGCTTATTTTCATGATGCAATGGATTACAGGCTAAGTTATTTTAAATAATAATTATGTCAAATTAAAAATACTTTCGAGACTTTTGATGGCAGTGCTGGTTGTTATGGCTGTATAACTACTCGTAAATCGTTTTAAAGCCAATAATAAAAAAATGTTAATAGTAAAATTAAAATTCATTCAAATAAAACAACTTTTAACTTAAAAAACCTAATATCAACAAAAAAAATTAACATCGAGCCAAATGTTATAAATAAATTACAATTTTGTTATATTAAAAAAAAAAAACAAATATAATTTAAATCAACTATTGTAGATAAAAAAATCTATTTAAACATCTATTATATTAATATTTTGTGTCTGTGTCGGTAATTTTTTATAGATAAATAAAAGCGATATGGCTACGCTATTTGAGATCACATCTTTGCAGCCAGTTCGCTCTTATTTGTTTTACATTAACTCTTAACTATCCGTGTATATGTTTATAAAAGTAAACAGTAAAAATCACAAAGTAATAATTTTGCTACCTAAACTTATTTTAAGAAGAGGCGTCACTTAATTTAAGTCTAATGCACGATATCACACGGAGTCCATTCAATTATTCAACCAAATCTCGATCTGAAACAAAGAAAATAAATATTAATACATATATTAATACAAGGTTTTGTTATTTTTTAATATTTTAATTTAATTCGATAAATGTTAAAAAATATGTTATAGATCAGAAAAAATGTTTTTAGTTTTATTCGTTATATATAGAGTTTGACGCGATGTCTGTGTTCAAGAATGACGCTCTAAATTAATAAAATATACATAAATACGTACATTTACGTTACGTACGTAAGTTATATATAAAATAATTGTATATTTTATATCTCAATAACTAGCACGAATTGACCATACCGAAATATTTAACCAAAATCTGTGTCAGTACCTACACTTAAGACGCATTATATAATCGCGGAAGCTTGACGACCGACTTTCACAGTTGTGTAATACCAAATTGACTTACATAACAGTCCCACAGACCTAATGTCCTACAAAGTATTACATCATTTTTTATTATATTTTTTAGTTTTGAAGTTGAATGTTATTAGAAAGTGGGACGTGCGAAATGGCAGTTACCGTGTTGTCTGCTGGTGTGGCAATGTATGGCGCAACGGTCAAATAGATACGACTTTTTACCTCAAAACACATGATTTAATACAGTTCATGATTTCCTAAGGAATTAATGGATAAAATAAGTTAATTTCCATATAATTTTTATACTCTTAGGTTAAAGATAGTTGTGTAATAAAAAAAAATAATAAAGACTTCCTATAGGAAGTTGTAGAAGGAAATTGTCTTATTTGAAACTAAGATTTAAATGTAAACAATACAGTATTTATAGTACACTTAGTTACAATTCAACGGAAGTCAGTATATGAATTTCTAAGCACTTATTACACACAGAAGATACTTAAAAATAACAAAAATTACCTAAATAAGTAGTAAATAGTAAGCCCTCATAAGCATTCTTAACAAATCTATTAATTTTTTTTTTAACCAGTTACCATTTTGGTTATAAAATTTTGCTTCTAAGCAGGTGTTATTTTTAGTGAGTGAGTAGGTTATGTCATGTATACATGACATGTAGAGACTAGTTTCATGTTAACTAAAGATTTAATTACTACCCATGATATTCTCCTGACCGATTCCGGCCACGGCGGCTAATCTCATTGAGACTAGCCAACTGCGCAGGAGATATTATAGTGCACAAGTGTACGCGCAGACACAACGTGCACTATCTATTCCTGTCACTCTCATACTCCGGTGGGACGACTGCTCGACACGACCAGTGAGAGTTAAGGCGCAGGACCGACGGCTTTACGTGCTCTCCGAGGCACGAGGGTGAAACACCGCCAACTTCCCAACTCTGGGCTGTAACTGAGGCTTACTATACAAAAAGACTCAATAACTAAACTTGGCCCGACCCGGGACTCGAACCCAGGACCTCCGAGTGTGAAGCCGTACATGCTAGCCACTACACCACAGAGGCAGTTGGTTAAATATTACGTATAGTTAGAGTGTACTACCCATATACAAATAACAACAGTAATATTTTTCGCGCGTCCATGGGCTGTTTTTTTACAGTAAAAAAGGGCCAACCAGTGGACAACCCACCTCATATTAAGTGCCTATCACTTAAAGGCATCTGCAACATAGGGGGAGTTGTGGATGCGTTTAGGATTTTTAATAGACCTGAAGACTCTAGAAAAGCCCGATATTACAGCGCTTAGAAGAAAGTATGTTTCGCAATTAGAACATTCTTCTTTTCAAAAAATCACTTTGCTGTATCTACAGCAAAAATTGATATACCAACAAACATACTACCACGTATTTATTTATAATATACATATTAATATAGGTTACATACTCATGTATAGGAAGGTATTGTTTAATATCTTGTTAATCTTGTTAATTATCTTGGAATAAACTAGCGGCGCGTAATCTATACACATAATAAAATTGTAACTAAGTCGAATGTGTACATTAAATATTTTTTGGAAAATCTAATTGAAATAGACATTATGATCGATACACAGTCCGAATCTATAGTTTTTATAATTTATGTCTGTCTGTCTGTCTGTTACCGCATCACGAGAAAACCAATGGACAGATTTTGATGAAATTTGGTATGATGGTAGCTGGTTATCCGGGTCAACATATAGGATACTTTTTACCGCGGGAAAATATCTCATTTCTGAGAAAAAATACAAAAACTGCATTGTAAGAGTATAATACTCGTAATATATAAAACCTAAGAATTTGGTTTTTGGTCATCTGAACGCGGGCGAAGCCGCGAGCACTGCTAGTATTATATTAAAATTGGCAAGCAAAAGCGAGCCCATCGTTGTTACCTTAATTGATAGGTTTGTGTACGGTATGAACAATATTAGACAGTTCTGAGTTGGGTCGCGGTTAACCAAATAAAGTTTTCTAATACTATGAACCGTAATAGCAATTACAGATTAACTAATCCACATAGTTTAAACATTTGCAGTACTAATATATATATATATATATATATATATATATATATATATATATATATATATATATATATATATATATATATATATATGACAGTGACAAGTGGTTAATCTCTCATCGGTTTAAGCTGTCATGATAGTACAGGGTCTTGACACGCTTTGAAGCCGTTAAGTAGAAAATTGAATTGAACAGGAATTCTTATTGTACTTTACTATAATTTATTTATGCTTATGTAAAATATGTAACCAAATTATTTTATTATAAAATAAAGATATCTGTATAATTAACGTTACTAAATTGTACAAAATTAATTATAGAAAAACTAGACTATCATATTTGCGTATATAGAAGGTAGCGAAATCAATCACCATACAAAATATATCCGTATTATTAATATTATAAATGTGAAAGTTTGTGAGTATGGATGTTTGTTACTCTTTTACACCAGAACGGCTGAACCGATCTGGATGAAATTTGGCACAGAGATAGATTATAGTCTGGAAGAACACATGAGCTAGGCTACTTTTTAACCCGGAAAAATATACGGTTCCCGTGGGATAGGTTTGTTTTTGTTTTCCTAGAGGCGAATCCGAACGAAGCAAGGTCCAAATATAAATTCATTTTCAAATGGTATTATCCTAAAACATATTTGTAAAAACATAACAATAAAATTACTAAAATCTCTAGCAGAGTCCTGTTTTTAAATATTATGGGAATATTCATTTAATACAAACACAAGAGAAGGAAAAAATATAAATTCAGTAAATAAATACGTCTCTACATAAAATTCCCTTACTCTATCAACCATAATTATATCAGAGGCAACTCTGAAAGCAGTTCGCTCAGCGTCATAAAAAAATCACAGTGGGGTCAATGAACTTAGCCGAAACTCGGGATGGGCATTGCACTCTATGCACTCTCTAACGCATACATTTGATAACATTTATTAGACCTGAGGTTATCATAGCTTTCATTAAAAATGTAACAATTTCTAATTATTACTATAAAAAATGTTATATTTGCTTGTTTGTTCATTTTTACGATAAGAAAGAAGTTTGAATGAAATATAGAGAGTATTAAAGTATTCATTTAAAAAATATTTTATATGTAGAAATGAATGATTATACTTTAATTTTATTTTGGAAGTAAAAAGTACTTATTATTTTAAATATATTTTTGTGTTTTATATATTTTTATATTCGTTCCTATCATATTATTTGACAAAGAAAATGTTGCCGTATTGCCGCTAACTCATGTTTTGGAGTTACAAGCAAAAATACAACAAATATAAGTTATATATACATACATAATAATACCTAAATCAAAGAGCTTCTTAAGAACAAAAATAATATTTTATTTTAAACATAAAATAGCAGTATTTAAGGATAAAACACCGTGATACAAGTTCCCGATAACGTTCTCAATTTTCCGTAACACGCTCAATAGTAACATTAAATATGCTGACTTAAGCCAATAGTGTGGGTTTGATTCTCGTTTTAAAAAAAAATATTTATATGTATTGCCAAAAATAAGTGTTTGTCGCAGTAACTAATCTAAACCAAAAACTAAAAAGACAAGATCCTTATATCGGTCCAATGAAATAATACATAATATTGTGTTCATATTATTGAAAATTTGTGGAAAATATATATGAACAGAGTTTACTGTACATGTTATATTAAAATAACGAACTGTTACCCGAATTTTTTATTGGTATCACTAAAATTCGTCGATAGCCACTAAACAAAAAAATAGCATCGATAGTCAAACAGAGGAGAAAAAGGTACTGAGTTGTTTTGTCTTTGCCTATTTATATATAGATCTATACAAATAATAAAATTCTGAGTCGAATCTGTACATAAAATATTTTTTCGAAAATCTTGTTGATATAGTCATTATTATCGATACAGAGGCCGAATCTATAGTTTTTAGAATTTTGATCTATCTGTCTGTCTAGGAACGCATCACGAGAATACTACTAGACAGATTTTGACGAAATTTGGTATAATGATAGCTGGTTATCCGGGTCAATATATAATTATATAGGATACTTTTTACTGCGGGAAAACATCTTATCTTTGCGAAATCTATACTAAACATTAAAACGTAACTAGAGACAAACACGAGCGGAGCGAGGGTGAGTCGCTAGTTTTATATACAAAAACGTCACAAATGACGTCTATTACAGATGTGATGTAACTCGAATGTGGGTTAAGCATTAATATAAAGCATGGCCACACCCGCGCAGTGAAAGTATGTACGCAACGTTCTCACTCTATGCGAGTTCTTCGCGACGGATAGACGTATTGAAATATTATAATTTAACATAAAATTCTAAATAAAATTACTTTTCAGAAATTTTTCGCGAATTTATTTTTATTTTAGGTTCCCCATGATAATTTATTATAGTTTTTTAATTAATTAATTAAGTATAAGGCTTAAGTCTCTACCGTGATTATGGTTGCTGTAAAGCATTCGAAATTTCGGGAACCAAAAATTAAAATAAATTTGCGAAAAAATCCTAAAAGATAGTTTTATTTAAAATGTCAAGTATTCACGTAAGTCCAAGAAAGGATTATATTATG